TAAGGTGCATTTGATGTGTGTATTGAGGGTGGACACTTTCCTTGAAATGAACAAAAGAACAATACTTGTTGTATTATTGTAAGGAGAGGAGTGTGTTATAAGAAATAATATGTTTTTAATTGCGTGTGTTTGTGTCTGTCTGTCTTGGCAGGTCAGTGCGTGGTGTGGCTCTTTGACTCTCACAGTTAAAAATTTCGGCTCTTTGTGTCAAACTTGTTCGCCACCCCTGCCCTAGTGGGTCATCCCAGAGTGACTGCTGTCAAAGACTATAAACAATCCTATGATTTCTACAAGGCATTTAATAACTTTAGCCTATGTAAAATAGTGACAAGAACTATAAGCAAACAATGCACATCAAATGCACAGGTATCTATACACAAAGTAAATGTTCACTCACTTAACTTTTTTAAGTCAGCAACTCATTAATTTATTTTCTTTTTCTGCTCCTAAAGATTAGAGGACCCATATTATGTTGTTTTCTGATCAATGTTATAAAGTTGTTTCCTCATGAAAAGCATTACTGAAGTTGTGGTTTGTTGTGTGAAGTTCTAACAGAAAACACATTGTGATGCCATGTGGTAATAAAGTGCTCTGGAATTGCCCATTTCTACTGAACAAAAGGTAAAAATTTACCTGTACACTTGAAAACTAGCACTACATGACATCACAAGGTGGGACAGAGCACTTTGAGCTTTGGAGATGTACACAGACTAATAATAAAGGATTACTCAAACATGTGCATAAAACAAAACACAGCTCTAGGTATGTTTTTGAGGAGATAATAACATTGTAACATGTCTTAAAACTCACGAGTCAATTTTGCGTAATACAGGACCTTTAACAGATTGAGGCATGTCCATGGGTTAACTGGTTTTAGAAGCACCCTCCCCCCCAACATCGTAGTGCGCTGGGCCTTCTCACAGTCAAAAACAGCCCTGATAATGATGCATCACAATACGTTTGACAGCTATCATGTCACATCCGAAGCAAGAAAAAAACAAACTGTATCTGGTGTTGAACTGTGACCTTTAACATGTTCAGAGTTTGTCAATGGGTAACGATTTTTGTAATGCATATTTTGTTATCCATTAACAGAGCCCTAGTGACGTAGGGACGACATTTGTGCGGTTTGAGTTATTTCTTACCTTAATGTGGGGAGTTTGACTGTTTTTGCTGAACTCCACGTGGATGCTTGGAGACGAGCGCCAGCGTTTGACGTAACAACACGAGCAGCGGATTTACTGCCATGGGAGTGTTCAGGTAGGTAGGCCTGTGCAAAATACAAAACGCAACGAAGCAAAGTTACAGTCTTAGCCTCGCAAAATTTGCAAGAAGCATTCTAAAACGTAAGACCAAGTGCACTGTGCAAAATTAGCTCGCAAAACTTAATTCAAAACGAGTTTTATATTACCTGCATCTTCTGTTTGTTTCGTTAGGCCCAACATTAACGCATGCGCAAAACAAAGCAAATGTGGCGTATCGACGTTCAATGAAATTAAAATATGTCAAAATATCTGAAACACCAGTAAAAACAAACATTTGGTTCTTTAGATTAAATGTACATTGTTGAAATATTTTAGCACCGTTTAGACAGACTATCCCCAGAGATATCACAAGAAGATTTCTGGTAATACCATATAAGGTAATGTTACACAAAGTCCTATCAAGGAATATGTTCTTCTGTGTCAAATACAGGTGTAACTTACACCAAAGTACAAAACTGCATGGGACTGCAGTAGTAATGAGCTCCATCTGGATGTCCCTGCAGTTATATAATTAAAATACATTTCAGATGGAGTAGACCAGTCCTGCAAAACAACACATATAGACCTAGGCTTGAACTGTAATTGTAATTAGTCCTAAATTGTATGGCTATTTGCCCCTTTTTGACCCTTCAAACAGTGCTTCTGGCCAGATCATGTGTCAGGATTACGTGGCCTACCTGGGTAAGAGTACCTCATTGGAGGGTTGCTATGTGTGTTTTGGGATGTTCTTCTCCCTACAAAGAGCAAGCAAACTCCACACAGACTCTCCATCACTCTTCATCTTGCTGAATGTTGGAAATTGTTAAACTTAGAGGCACATTCACATTCTTGCTTAAGTGAAAGTCAAACAATACTGTTTACTCAAGTCAGGATTCTTAACTTCTTTATCATCATTATCATCACTGAACAGTTTATCATGCTTTAAAAGTAGTTGTAGGCTTGCCTGGCCATTATAGATTGACATAAATATAGAGGATAATGCCTGATGCCCATGTCCCATATTTGCCGATAAAAGGTGTGTCCTGATCCGAGCTCACAGAGGATTGTCTTTCTGGAGCAGGTGGCAGGAGGGTTTGGCATTTGACCGTCTGTGCTGTTTTGCTCCATCATTTCTCTCAGTGATCTCTGCTTCCAGTAATTACTGCAGTCATCAATTCATCCTAATATAGCTTAAGTGCTGACACAGCTAATCCAGTTAGTGGGATTTGATTAGCAAGAACATTGCCTACTATCACACCTCCAGGGTGTAATAAGCACTTGTGCTACAGCCTTGTCCTTTTACTGGCCTCAGCATCTCACCGCTGATGGATGATAACAAACTTGATAGATTGTACTTTTTCTCGTCTTTTCTTGGGTTACAACAGATTCATAGATATTGCACAACATGCATTTTGAACCAGTGTGGAAGTTTTTATTGCACAACATGAAATTCATTCCAAAGAAATGAAGTTATACTTTGGCCGCACGCCACCTGAACCAAAGACCACAGAACTGCTCTAAAAAGGTACAATATGCAGATGTCCATATTTAAATGTTCATGTGTTTCGGCTTAAACATGACTACAGTCAGTCAGTGTGTATTGTGTTGTTGCAACAACATCCTGCCCCAGAGTAATTTGTTATGTGTAAAATAGTGCAGGCAAGATATAGGCCTGATGCATAACTCTCTCTGCACTTCCTGATGGCTCTCATGGGGCAGATAGAGACAGATCTAAATCTGGGGACAGTGAGGCTGAGATGTCATACGCTGTGTGGCTACTGAGTGCAGTGACAGGACATAAGATACAACACAATGCATGATTCTTATCACTCAGAGTATTAAGGACAGAGTAGATCAGATCAAAGCCCTGGAGGTGTAAATGGCTCTGTTTCTGTGTGTGAGATAGGAGATATTCTTCCTCTTAAAGCAAGCCTTTATATAAATGAGCTGTGAGGCCACTGTTGCATGCCTGGTATTTGTAGTAAATGCAAACACGGTTTGTACCTGATGACCCAGTGTGACCTTTGAGCCTGTGCTCTATTCAAAGCTCAGAGAATGTGATTATTTTTCAATGAGCAGGTTACACCTGAGTGAGCAAAAGCCACCAAACGAGACCCCACTTAGCCCCACGTGTTTGTTTTTCCTTTCTTTTCTTGTTTGTGCTCAACCAGAGGAGAGCTTTCTACACTGGCCACAGTGAAACTCACAGGATGACAGTCGGACCACATCATCCGTCACTATCCATCTTTGTGACAGCTGAAATCACAGCCTTCGCCGTAGTGTGGGGGAGAGGTGAGCCCATTCTCAACACCTGTCATGACCTGGCCATAGAAAAAAGAGTGAGAGGCAAATATCTTTAGCACAGACCTGTTCCTGGTGCCTGGTCACAAAGGTTAAAAATAGAAACCTTTTAAATACGATCTTAAAATATGCTGATATATTTTCCATATCATTGTACACCTATGACTCTTTCTTTCACATTCACAAAGTATACTGGTAGGGGAGTCGTGGGCTTAATCACTTCTTAACAATTAAATTACACGTCTTCCTGTATTTAGAAGTGACAACCTGCATGAAAAATCCAATATGCAGCCACCCACTCAATAACTGTGGACTGTTCCAGAAGAATAGGGCTATGCATAGTGCTCTTATTTCCTGAGCCCTAGATACTACCTAATGGAAGTGAAGGGTAAGTTGGCAGCTGCTATTAATAAAGTGTTGACAGGACCAGTCACAATCAGACAGTGGACTTTTCCTTTTATGCAGGGACACGGGACAGTCTTTGTTGGGCCGAGACATGATGACGATGGAAAGCTGAATGTCTTGATGTCATAAAAAAGTTAATATAAATTCGTGTGTGTGTGTGCATATGTGTGTGTGTACACGTGTGTAAGTTCTGTAATAACCCACATATGGGCCTCATAACAGCTCTGCTCATGATTAAGAGGAATGTTTTCAGATGCAGTGGTGGGTAGAGTAGACAAAAATTTTACTCAGCTAAGGGTACAGCTACTTAAAAATATTACTCAAGTAGAAGAGCAGTAATCCAAGAAATTATTCAAGTAAAAAGTAACTGGGGAAACTACAATTTCAGTTTTGAATAATATACGAGTAACTGTTTATATGTAAAATCTAATTTATACTTAGAAGTGAAAGTAATTGGAAGGACAAATCTGTAAATAATGTACATAATCTGGTATAGGATCAGGATAGATCACAAAAATGAGAAGGAGCAGTGCAAAACAAAAATGTAAAATGATTTGATAATGTCATAAAACTTTTGTCACTTAAAGGCTTACTCACAATGAGAGGATTAACCATAACATTTACTTAAGTAAGAGTACTGTTACAATGTAAAGTATATTATTCATGTAAGAGCCAACGTATGGTATATATTAAAAGTTACTTGAGTAAGTGAGAGAAGAAAACTTGAGAAACCAGTGATCAGATGTGTTCAGTAACTTCAGGACACTGTGTTTCTGTGTCAAAGGAAGACCCAAAAACAAGAGAGGACACTGGGGATATTGTGTAACATGTTGTTTATGTTTGTGCCCTGTAGAGGCTGCTGGGTGAGAGCCAGACAGAAACGGACAATGCTTGGCTGACTTGTGTGAAGTAGAGATCATTATTGTGCGTGTGTGCGTGCATGTGTGTGTATGTGTGCTGTAGGAGAGTGACGGAGGGGGCTGAGTCTGTGTTTTTGTGTGTCAGGCGTATTCCTGCTCGTCTCGCTCCACCACTTAAGTTGGATTCGGAGCGGTCAGTGGCACAGAGGTGGTGGTCCTATCTCTGTTCTACCAAAGAAGCAGCTGCCATTTGGTTCAGCAACTCAGGTAAGAAATCAGATATACTTTTGTAACTTTTAACAGTACTTTTATTCATTCAAGTGAATAAAGCTTCTATATTTGTTCATCAAATTTAGCAGCAACATTCACGTGTATTTATATATTATAATATTTATTTGTGTTCCTGTATCAAAAGAAGATTATAACTGATGCCACTTGTTGAAAGTTCTAATACTTTAGTTCTACTAGGGCTGCAGTCCTTCAGTCAGTTAGTCTATTAATCGGTCAATTGCATTTTAATTGACTAAATCTTTTAATAGACAAATATTTATTCTAAGATTATACTTAGCAGAAATTTCAGTCAGTTAATTTCAGTCAGTTAATCAATGCATGGAGAATGTCTTTAGTTGTCCAAGTATTTCTTTAGTGTACCAGTTCTACTTTTTACATAAATGACAGTATAGGGAAGAAGGTGCTGTGAATAACAAGCCAAGAAACTTACTGCAGAACTCAGTCAGTCCAGTTCCTCATAAACATTAACTACTGGAAATCTTCATTTATGAGAAAAGTAATCCTCGGACAAAGTGTGGGGCATATGAAAGTCAAGCGGAAGAACACTTAATATATAAACAAATATACAAACATATATGCTGCATATATATATATATAGTGACTTTAGGAACTTTAAGAACTTGTGGGAAACTATGCTGCATTGAGGATATAAAATACTAATATGGTTTAATCCTAATTCTAATCCTGTTTAAATAATCTTCCCATCATGCAGCTGTAGTTTTGATTGAGTTTATGGATTATGTTCTGGTTTGTTATTATTGCAGGATACATCTCAAATGGCATTATGGGAGATAACATGTGCTTTCAGTAGCAGGAGCAGGTTCTGTTTAATTTAAGTGACAGAAAAAAGAACAGATTTGTAAACAAAACATGCAGAGAACATCATTTTTCTAGGGTCAGTATTTCCATTAGCGGCAACCACAAGTCAAGTCCCCAGGCACTTTCTTAATGGATTATGTGACCACTATTTACATTTTGGCCACAAGTAAAAGCCACTGTAACATATATGACTTATGTAATGATGAAACGACCTGCATTTGCATCACTTGAGTGATATGTTGTTAAAGGTGTGCGATGTAACTTTTCTTGTAGGAGTTTTGCCGCCTGCTCGTGTCTATGGAGATGCTTTATCTTTGCCTGTAATATTCCACAGTGTTGAAATAACAGAATTAATGACTTTATTGTAAAACATGCATACTTACTGTTAGCGGGATCCACTCTCCACAGAGCTGACCTGCAATTTGGCCAGGTAGTGTTACCTGCTTGTCTCCAAAGAAATAGTGGATAGCGGAGAAATTAAGAAAAGTTGCATAGTGCACCTTTAATACATGGACAATACAAGTATGGAAACTTAAAATATGCAAGGGGAGGTGGTAGAATTGAATATATTGCTCAACACTTGCACTCCTCAAGTGGTGAAAATAGATTTTGTACATAAAATTGTGTTCAAAGACAGGTCAGACTACAGGAAAAGAGGGTCTGTGCACCAGAGGAAGTGACTGTTGACTTAGAGGATCTTATGGAGGCGAGATGTGTAGACAGCTATGTAGTGGCCTGGCTGTGTGCTCTTGCGATGAGTCCTTTACTTGATAATGGGCATGTATAAATCATTAACTCCATCAGGCAGAGATTTAGCGGCTCACTCTGAGGGCAGCCAGATGGTGGTGCTCCTGTCAGCCCACTCACCAAGAGGGCCAAGATAGTTCTGTTGGTGAGAATTCCAGGCACTCCCCCCGAGTCCTCCCTCCTCCTTTCCTTCAGATTTAAACTTTTGCCTTTTTGCTTTTTTAAGAAATTCCCATGATCCCCAGAACTGGGTGCATGAACAAACACTTGAATGGGATTAGGGTAAGAATGTTATTTTTTCAGTGTTAATTAGGGGTAGGTTTTGAATGACATAGAGTTACATTTTTTTAGCGGACTTTGACAACCACTTACTTGCCACTTTGATGGGATGGAGTTAATGAAATTTAATAGTGATAGAAATGTGTTTTATATTGGAATGAGGGTGCATCTGGAATGAAGAGTTGTATCAGGATCTCACAAAGGAAGAACCATCACAATTTAATGCTTTAGTAGTTTTCTAGCTTGGAAATATTTGAAGTATACATGAAAAATATAAAGGTATAAATCTTTTTTTTACTGGGCACAAAATAATCATTATCTCTTTTTTCTCAGGTGCCCTGTCAGCACAAGGATTTCAAAAAATTATAGTGAAATTTATATGAAATTTGAAATGAATAATATTCAACACAGGTAATATCTCTCCACAGATCTAACCTGTTGCTTGGCCTGGTGGTATTATACTGCAGAACATTCTGGGAAAGCAATACTTGCACCAGAAAAGTTATACCCTGCACCTTTTAAGCAAACCTCTTTTTACATCTTTAAAAATAAATTCACTAATAGCATTTTCTTTCTGTTACGCTGTAATATAGACTGCACTATAATACAGGATACAATGATGTGTGTCTTGATTTAGCATAGGTTTAAAAACGTTTAGTATTTCCCTTCCAGACCCAGCCCTTTGTGTTACTCCAAGTGACGGACAGGAGACGCATACAGTATAAACTCATATGACGACATGGGCTTAAAATAAATGGCCTGTGCCCTTATGATGTCATTGAGCTGCCTTTGTAGTAAAAATGTTGCAGAGCTTCCCTTCTGCTTATTTTTATCTTCTATGCAAGAGTGTGTGCAAACAGAGAGCATTGTCCGAGAGGATGCAGCTTTGCCATGGACCCTGTGAAGCCAATGTTTACCTTCCTGTTGGTGGTCTCCCAGGGTTTATAGCTGTCATTCAGTCATGCACCGGTATCACTCTCACTGTTAGCCCCACACTAACTCACTAGACCTACTTCCGACACCAGTGTTTGTGGCACCTAACCTTTATTATGGGGTGTGCTTGTGTTCAGCATATCATGAGTAATAATCCACTCTGTTTGTATTGACTCCCCTGCTTACGTCCCTCTGCCCTCACGGAAAAATACTGGTGCTTTATCTGTCAGGTTGTCCAATTATAGCAAAAGGCATTCCATGTCGTATTTTTCTAACACTTATTTTATCTCCTTTTAATACTTATGAACTGGCATGTCTTCTTGTCTCTCTTAGACAGATCAGGTTTACAGCCAACGACTGTTAAAGTCATTAGCGTATAGGAAAAAGACATGTCAGGAAAATCCCAGCTATGACATCTGCATTGGTGCTTTACACAGTACTTACTATGCCAGGCTGCACAACACTGATATTTCATGACTCTGTTGCCCTTGGCAGCCACACACCGTCCACACGCTCCAGCCTCCACATCTGTAACCGATATGCTTGTTGCTTTAGCGCTCACTGAGTTTTTCAAAGAATTCATACAGAAACCTGGTGGAATATGGGCTAATCTTTCATTTGGAGATAAAATATCCATAGCTGAGTGGCTCAGACAGTCTAATGCCAACCAGAGCCTTGGAGGAATGCATTACATTAGCAGTTATTTCAGTTATATCATAAAATAAGCAGTTTGAAATATTATTTTAACATGTCATAACAACTTAGACTACACAAAACCAATCAACGGGTTTTCTATACTGATAAACATAGAATTTTTAGTGCCTTTTGAAGGGTCATCCCACATCAAAATACTTGAGAAAGCATGCCATCTTGTGGCAACAAAAGGCACCAGCCTTCACTCCTGAATTTCTCTTTGTATGTCATTCACCTGTTGTTGTCACATGTCATCACACAAGATTATATTGTTTTATAGAGAGGGTTTTGTATTGTATTTATTGTATGAAATATATATATATATATATATATATATATATATATAATATATATATATATATATAGAGAGAGAGAGAGAGAGAGAGAGAGAGAGAGAGAGAGAGAGAGAGAGAGAGAGAGAGAGAAATAATATAGAGGAATCTGTTGTATCTGTATTTGTTGTATCGAATATATTTCTAAACTGTAAGTTGTTGCATAGAGCAGATATGTCTTATGAACTATGTGATGTTCAGTGGTCTTTTTATCACCAATGGGATCCCTGTTAGTGAAACTCTTCTTATATCTTTGGAGGTCAGGTGTTGTGTTCACTTTGGGCAACACACAATTTCGTGTGTTGTGTCGTGTTGTGTTGTGTCAAGTTAAGTAGCATTCTGATAATGCAGTGAGCTGACAGTCAAGTCAAAGGAGGTTTATTTATTTAAGCTTTGAACTTTCACAGTGTTATCTCAATTAAGACTACCATGAATAAATCCTACTTAGCTGCTGTAATAATTGAAATAAAGCCTTGTGCTAATATTATTACATTAACAGAGCTAATGAGGCTCCTCTGGTAGACTCCCAAAAAGAGACAGAGTTCTTTTTTATCTCAGCTCGTCTGTTACAAATGAAGCACAAACTGCCCTGAGGCCTATTTTCTGCAGTAGCATGCAGGTTTGATTTTCTCACAGAGCAAAGTTTCCATGGAGCGGCATCCCTGCTGTCGTGTTTGTTTAGGTGTGTGCTGATTAGAAGTTCTCATGCTGGGTACAATGTATCTCTGCTCACCCAGGGTTCGAAACGTGACATGTCTTTTACAGTGACTGGAGCCTTAGCCCTCTCTCTCCACTACCTCTGTGTTTAATGGCGTTGTTATCCAAGCTTGCACTTTGCCAGGCGCTCTTCATTAACACAGGTCATAACACAAGGCATAACGCTTCTCCTTCCGGGTGCTCACGGTCCACCCAGATGGACGGGCCATTTGACAAAAACACTGTACCGTTTTACTGTTGCCATTTATTAGCCCAGGGAGCTTTTAAAGGAGAAGGCAGAATGCAGATTGTCAGAGTAATGTTTTAAGGAGCATTTCTGGAATATTGAATAACATACAACATCTGTTTTTAATGAAGTCTTATTTTACAGAAATAACATAAAGCGTCAGGATGGCTTTAATGTCTGCGTTCTTAATGAGCTAGTGTAGGGTGAGCACTTTGATGGCTGCTCGTGTGGATTAGCGTTTATGGGCCGTGCCACTGCTAATGAAGGTTCTTCCCTGAGATTGCATTGACATTTTTGTTCTATTTCTTTTATAGGAGTCACCAAGGCCCTCGCCCAAGGCCCGTATCAGTCAGTACAGACGCACCCTGCTGCCAGGGCCTCCTTCTCATTACCCCTCCTCTGATTCAGAAACAAGATGATGAACCTAACATCAGGAGCAGAGAGTAAAGAGATAAACCTGACATGTGGACTGTCAGGGAATCATGACTTCATCTTCACCCTGGTACCAATTGTCTACAGCTGCAACTTTATTATTGGCATTGTGGGGAACAGCATGGTGGTGGCTGTCATATACTGTTACATGAAACTCAAGACAGTGGCCCACATTTTTGTGCTCAATTTGGCCATTTCTGATCTCACCTTCCTTATCACTTTGCCCATGTGGGCTATGGTGACTGCCACAGGCTACCACTGGCCTTTTGGAGGATTCCTGTGCAAAGCCACTGCAGCTATGGTCATCTTTAACCTCTACACCAGTATCTTCTTCCTCACAGCACTCAGCATCGACCGTTACCTGGCCATAGTGCACCCAGTGAGTTCGCGGCGGTTCCGCACAGTGCTGTACGCACGCATCACGTGTGTGCTCATCTGGCTGTTTGCTCTAGTGCTCAGTGTGCCCACTGCCCTCACCAGAGACATCCACAACATCAGCAACCCGAACCTGACCGTGTGTGGTGTCCTGCACACCACCAAGGACAACGTCCAGAGCCTGAAACAGGTGCTGCTGGCTATCAGCCTGATGAAGAGCCTGCTGGGCTTCCTCATACCCTTCATCATCATCATCACCTGCTACTGCCTGATCGGCAGAGCTCTGCTTGGGGCCAGGCACATCCAGAAGAGCTCCCAGTCCCGGGACGATGAAGTGCTGCGCATGCTAGCAGCTGCTGTCCTGGCCTTCTTTGTGTGCTGGGTGCCCCACCAGATATTCCACTTCATGCAGCTCCTGACCCAGCTCATAATGCCCAACAACTGTCCCCTTCTGGACATCATTGACACTGCCATGCCCTTTACCATCTGCATTGCCTACTTCAACAGTTGTGTTAATCCCATTGTGTATGGATTTGTTGGGCGTAACTTCCGTAAAAATCTGGTGCGTCTGCTGCACTGTGCGCCCGCTAATATCCGAGGACCTCATCCGAGCATCAGCTCCAAAATGAGTGCTCTGTCCTTCAGAGCCTCAGAGGCACTCAGCCTGACAGTGAAAAACAAGTCTTCCTCTGACATTAAATGATAACTCAAGTGTGTTTACCTCTCCTCACTGCAGTGTATCTGGTAAAGAGGTGGGGAAGATCCTCGCTTAAAGCCCCAACTGAAATACCAAGCACTGACCCTCGCTGAGTGACTGTATTGTTCTTTCACAGACATTTACTACAGTGTACAATGTTATTGTTGTCTGTGAGCTGTGTCATTCAGCAGACATACTACAAGTGATGCTGGCAAACATTCTCCTTTAAGCCTGTGGAATAAATGTTAGCAGACCCTGACTACACTACAGTTCCCTACTATGCAGTGTTTTGATCAAAAGGACAAAACTTGTTGGCATGTGCAGCTTTACTTGATGGCACCCAGTCCTTGTCGTTCAGTGACGCTATACTTACTGTACACCACTGTATGTCCACTTATTAACAACAAAAAGAGTTTATCATGCAGTCATAAAGCATTCTCACTCAGGCAGATCTGTATACGTGTGTAGCATTTGTCAAGTGTGTTGTTTCAGGTTGGCAACATCAGTGCATGTGAAGGATTTTGTTATTGTTGATATTGTTATTGTTACTTGATATGTACTATATCTAATAAAATACAGTTATAAATTAAATATGATGCATTAGAATAAAATTGAATAGTGTCAATTGTCATGTGTAAATAAGGTGTTAAATGGATGTTTTGTTTTTGTGGTGGTTGTATTTGTGCTATTTAAACATGTTGAAAACCATTTTTTATTTTCTACTGTAATGTACAAACTGAAGAGGGTATAAGACATATCAATAAAAATAATTTTAAAAAGTCAAAGTTTCATAATTTCTAAAATAAATATAATAATTTTTTTCAGAGTTTAAATTCTAAAGTCTTTGCAAATAAATAATATTTGCCTACACTTCTGAAGACTGTATAAACAAGAACTGTCCCACTGCTAATTCCGTGTACCTCTCTTTTCATATACCTTTCCAACATCACAAGTGGTCAGAATCTTAAAAAGTAATTTTAATGATTAACTCCACATTACCTAGGATCTTGCCTCACCATGTTGCCTGTTGAAAACAGGTGCATGTTGCCATATCATTTTGGGGAGGATGTTTGACATGCTGTTGCATAGGATTGGTGGACTGGTGGAGGGTCCAAGCCTTATAAGTGGCACCCAAAGGTGGGAGCAGCCTCACTGCCAACATGAAGTTCCTTTTGCTGCTTGGATTGGTGGCTGTGGCCCTGGCCGAGACACACTTTGAGGGGTAAGTAAGTTTAGGGGAAAAAAAAAAAGGAGTGCAATCACGATTTGGTGATTAGCATTGATCGCATAGTGAGAAAGACAGCTTGCTGTGTGTCAAATTATCACAAAATATAATGGTTTGGGTATAGGTCACCATTCTCATTTAGCTTTACAAGTTTTAATTTACATGGCCTTCAAACTTTTAATGAGAAATCAACCGTTTTTAGTAAAAGATGCACATCAAGTAAAAGTCAATCTAATACAGTCATTTTCATTCAGATGGGTAAGAGCGCTCAAATATGTGGACCTGAAACTACTGTATTTACAAGCAATTATGTATTTGTTACAATGTGGAAAATCATTCTTATTTAAAACAAAATTTCTAAACAGTTTTTTCCCCACCACACACAGTCACCAATCATCTAATTTAAAGTTGATACATGTGTGAAATATTCTACTTCGTGTACAGATGCAGATATTGCTTTTTGCATGGAACTACTGAACAAAAATATGTTTTCCTTTCTCTTCAAATTGTCCCTGCATTTGAAGAGTCTGTCAGTAAAATGTAGTTGATATGATGTCATTTACTATAGCCTAGTAAGTCTATATGAACTATATGAATGTGCCCTTTTCCTCAGAGATAAAGTGTTCCGTCTGAAGCCTGTGCTTGACGAGCATGTGACCCTCATTAAAGAGCTGGCTGACAGCATCGAGGTACTGTCACACTCCCCCACCTTTACTGCTCTCCTCACGCACTGCGGGGGAAACCGCTCTGCTAATGGCCAAACACATTCAATTGGACTTTCTGATCATGCTTAGAAGACACTCACTTTTGCTTCGCCAGCTGTTTGTATCTTCAAGTCTGTCTTTACAAATACTGCCATGCTGCTTTGACTGTCGGCTTTAGCAAAGGTTGTACCTGTAGGCCTACAGTCTTTCATAGAGCTCAAGTCTTTGTGTTTGGCGCCCTCTGCAGTTGGACTTCTGGAGGCCCGAGAGTCCCCAGCTGGTGACCGTTGACATCGATGTAGACATCCATGTGCCCGCTCTTTACCTGGACATGGTCAGAGTCAGACTGCAGCAGAGCGACATGGAGCACGAGTATGTCACAATAAATACTGAACACAAGTCAGATCTCGTGGTTTAAATTTAAATTTAAAACAATATTATTTTTAGGGTGCTCATTGATGATCTGGATGAGGCCGTGATGCGTCAGCGCGACAGTGGCCCTGTCCCCAGAGCCCACAGCTACACCAGATACAACACCTGGGAGACTGTAGGACACCAGCTAGGCTATATAACACAGAGTTGTGTAGTTTGTACATGCTATACCTTATTGTTGTGATTTCAGATCCACTCTTGGATTAACTCTATCGCCGCCTCCAACTCCGATCTCGTCAGCAAAGAGGTCATTGGAAACAGCTACGAGGGACGCCCCATGACCCTCCTTAAGGTACAAACACAATCAAAATATAAAATAAATAAAATTATAGTCTATCTACTTTATTTAAGTATATCACTTTCAAATTGCTACCATTTACAAGTTCATTCATAAAAGTCCATAGATCAGTGATATTTATATATACAGTACAGGTCTTTTTCTATATTTTATTTTATGTTATTTCCAGATCGGCAAAAAATCCAGTTCTACAAAGAACGCTATCTTCCTGGACTGTGGTATTCACGCCAGAGAGTGGATCTCCCCCGCCTTTTGCCAGTGGTTTGTTAAGGAGGTACAATACAACATTTCAAGTGGATAAGAAGAGTGAAAGTAGCCCAAAAACTGTGCATTACAAGAATCTTTTACTCTCTTGCTAGGCCGTGTCCACTTATGGCAGTGATGCTCAGATGACCAGCCTGCTCGACCAGATGGATGTGTACGTTCTGCCCGTCATCAACATCGATGGTTATGTGTTCACACACACCAACGTAAGTGTTTGTTTTGTTTTGTTTTGTTTTTTTAATCATAACAATAACACATCTATTTTGTATAACTGTAAACTCTAAGATGGGTCACAGGGTGTGAGGCCATAAGAAACCAACTATAGATGTATGTTTGTTTTTTTGGCCATTAGAACAGGATGTGGAGAAAGACCCGCTCCAGGGCTTCTGGAACTAGCTGCATTGGAGCTGATCCCAACAGAAACTTCGACGCCGGCTGGTGCAGTAAGTCTGACAAAAGACAAAGTGCACAAGTGCAGAACATTTATCTTATTACTTATCTCAAGTCTCAAATGCATCTGATTGTATTTGTGTACACCAGCCCTGGGAGCTTCGAGCAACCCCTGCAGTGACACCTTCTGTGGGTTCTCCCCTGAGTCCGAGATCGAGGTCAAGAATGTGGCCAACTTCATCCGCAGAAACAAAAGCACCATCAAGGCCTACCTCACCATCCACTCCTACTCCCAGCTGCTGCTCTTCCCCTACTCCTACACCTACGAGCTGGCCCCAGACCACAGCGAGCTGGTCAGTACAGTCCACTCACCATGTATTGGATTTTTTATGTATTTATTTTTTGTGGTAAAAAAGGGCTGTGGGTGAGTTGTAATGTTTACAGGCCCTAGTGAAGATCATGCTCGGGCTGCAACAATTAATCAGAATAATTGTGACTTGACTGTTCAAATAATCGTAATCGTAATTGTATCATAATCATTAGCTGGACATTACAAATTTGAGAACACAAAAAATAAAACCATAGAAAGTTTTATATAAAAAGAATTAGCTATTTCTTATTTCAGGAAACAATACACTTTATTTATAAATCTCTTTCTATCTACGTAGTGTTCAGTTACCAATTTTCAACATAATATAGATTTTTTTCTTAAATATACAAAAGAAATAATGTCTGACTAGTTGATTACTAAAAATTTACTCACTTAACTTACGTAGAGTTAGTTGTAACCCTATATCATATCTAAGTCTAATTTGTTTCATAATATTTAAGTCTAATTTGTTTACAGTCCATAAACTTTTAGATTAATGATTGTCTTAGTATACAACCAAATCAGCTGTTCTGCACACTTAACATTAGCTGTGCATGTTTCAAATCTGTTATACTTCCTCCCTAAACCATCTCTGTCACAAAAAGGTGCTCATAAAAAAGCGATTATGAAGTAGTTTCCAAAAGCTTAAGCATGAACTCAGCCTAGTGCCATTAAGCCTGTTATCTAAAAGCCACACTTAGCTGCTGCAAATCATTGACTCCCCGCTCCTTCTCATGGGTCTTTTAGCTCTCCCTGGGGTGTCCATGCTCTGTGCAGTTAACACTCACACCAGCACTCACACTGTAACAGGCACATCACACGCCCTTCTCTACCCACGTGTGTAATTTAAGCTCTCTCTCTCACACACTTTACACAACAAAGGAACTCTCCGCATCCTCCATAACTCCTCTGTCTATCCCAAAAACTATCATTTCCTGAGAGCGCGTTTCTCCCGAGGTTTTAATTTCCTGTGCGTGCAAACTGTAGGATTTCATGACGTGCTGAAGACAACTTGTTCTTATGCTATGCTAAAGGCTGTAAGGCATAAAGCATATTGTTGCAAGGTGAAGTATAATTGTACTGTTTTTCTATTCACTAAAATTATTTATTTGGAGTAAATGGCATTTGAGCATGCAATAACTACAGGCACTGCAACTGGATTCAAAACCTACACAAGAAGATCAATTAAAGAGTAATAATGTGACAGGTTTGCCCCTTTTTCATAAAGTACAATTTGAAGACTAACATAGAAATTGAAAAAAATTTTAAAGATTCATAGATTTTTTAAATAAATAAAACAAAAAACATACAAGATACAAAATGAAAAATCAGAACAAAAACAAGTATAGGATGAAAAAGAAAAACTGTCCCATTACTCCTCTTGTTCCCTTATGAGCTAAAAAAGGCTTCTTGTAATAATTATTGTAATATTGCTAACCCACAGTAACAACAGACCGTGTATTTTATATTCATTGATAAACCATTCATTAAGCCTAACATTTATTTGACATTGCATAAATGTTCATGTATGATTATTTAACTCTATGTTTCTTGTGTGTCTATAGCTGAAGGTGGCTGAGGGTGCTGCCAATGCTCTGACTAGCCTGTATGGGACCGATTACACCAGTGGTCCTGGTGCTGCCACTATTTGTAAGTACATGATATTACAGCTGTATTCCACTCACCGTGGGGGGGGGGTTGCTTCTGTGGATGAGGCTTGATAGTCTATTTTCAGTCTAATATTATGCATTATGGTGTGCTCACGATGCTCAAACAAATGTATAGCTAAACAAAGCTGGCATTTACAGAAAAGGACAGAGCCAAATGAAGAGACACATCTTTTGTGAACAAAAGGATGTTGTTGCCAAAAGGATTTGGCTGGTGGCTCACTGGAGCTGTGTGTTCTGTGTGTGCCCAGACCCTGCTGCTGGTGGCTCTGATGACTGGGCCTATGACCTGGGGGTGAAGTACTCCTACACCTTCGAGCTGCGCGACACCGGCCGCTACGGCTTCCTGCTGCCAGAGTCTCAGATCCAGCCCACATGTGAGGAGACCATGCTGGCCGTCAAGTACATCGCCGCCTATGTGCAGAAGAACATCTACTAAAGAGAGAGGAGCTGCCAGGACCCCTGCCAACTCTCCTCCTCTGTACCAGCCCCCAGACCTCCCACTCCAGCCTGTTTCCATGGATACGGGCACCTCCCGCCATGTTGCCTCGCTGTGCTTGACAGAATGTCAAGATGAGAGCAAACAATAAAATCAATGATCCATCCCCACATGCTGAATCAAGTGTGTATGTGTGCATGATATATTATGTGATGGACTGCTGTTGGGCACAGCAATGTGCGTGACGATCACTCTATAAGCACCACTGCATGTCAGGTGACTCAGCCTACTTGCCTTTTTGACCACTTTATATAGCCTACAAATAACACTTTTTTGATTTACAAGTACAATTTACAATTCAAGTAAGACAATAAAAGTATTTTCTGTTCAAGAGAAAGTGACTTAAGTGCCTTAAGCCTACTAGCTGTCTGGCTGAGACTTGAACCCTGGTAGCGCTCTCTTGTTGAGCTGGCTCTCTTCCAGGGGTGGGGGATTGCATGGGAGCCAGGCAGGCCTTTTTAAGGATTTTAGTGCAGTAGCACAGTATGTGACAACTACAGAGTAGTCCAGGCAGCATGACTGCTCTGCCAAGCATCTGTGTGAGCCCACAACTGAGAAAGGACAAAGATTTATTTGGGGTTCCATGTTGTTATTTGGGTTTCCTCTGCATTTTTAACTGCAAAAGTAAAATAGTATAGTTTGAACGGCACTTTTAAAAAAATTAACACACCAGAAATAGGCCTGCGGTTTATTCTTCTTCACTCAGTAGAAGGCTACATGAGTCCCAGGAGTCCCTCTACTCAACTTGCTCTGAGAATGAGCTCCATGACGTCTTTACCACCATACGACTTGCAGCTGCGTAAAATAGTACGAACGCATAGGACCGTCCCATTTTTTGCTTACTGTTACTTGCTTTATGCTCTTTAACCAACAGATGGCGACAAACATAAGGAGTGTGTTTTAATAGTGCATACCGTTCCCAATTCCACAGCATCACCTTCTTATCTACATTGTGACTGTCTGTAAGGAGCCACCACAAAGGTTAAGAAGATTGAGTGTCACAAATGAGATGCGATGTAAAATGTAATGGTTGTATACTATGGTTAGAAACATAATCATAATTTAGGGCTAATAATGATTATAACAGTTACTGTGTGGAAACTTTAAAATTAAAGTCTGATAGAGTTGGAAAACACTTGGTACTAGTGCAAAACAGTGAATAGTTGAACTCCCTCAACTTGGGCTGTTGGGCACACAGTTGGAGCAGGTGGGTGTGAGGCTGCAGTCACGTGACGCAGCGCCTGGCTACTGTCATACTGCTATAAATCCACCTCTGTATATTTAGACAGTCCTTTTCTTCAAGTCTCCGAGTCCTTAAGCCCAGGCTCCAAACTAGCAGCGTGTACTACTACTTCAGTCATGGCTGGTATGTGACTTTTCAAAACTTTTTACACTGTTGGCTGTTGCTTGCTTGCTACTTCTGCCCAATCTTTGTTACGTACTATTTGTATTGCAGCAACTCTCTTCGTGAGTTTGGAGCGCGCGTCAAAACCAGTGCTGACCATTTTGGCCAGTGTCAAAGTGACCTGATAACGCATATAACGGTGTGTCCTGGAAGTTGTTTTGATCGGGTTTCGAAAGTAGGCAAATCCAGTCACTTCACAGAACTGTTTGTCTTTAATGTAGACCTATGACTTTTTTAAAATTTATTTATTTTATGTTGTTGCATTTGTTAACCTTAATGTTGTCTCGCCTGCTGTTATATTGCTCTTTGTCTCATCATGACCAAGTCTAGTGAAGTTGGCCAAAGCATGAACTTGTAATATACTATAATAAAACGTACATCAAACGTATCGTAGGGTACATGTAAGAGCATGATTAAATCTCCACACGGAGCTATATTGGGACCCTCTTATTGGTCACGTAACTCTTGGGACACGCTGTACTATCTGTACTGTGACGCTTCAGCGCTCTTTTGTAAAGTCAGAATTTGTCAAGTTCGTCTGACCATTACGATTCTAAAGTAATAATGCTGCTTAAAAAATATTGAGTTTTAGCTGGTCTGTCTGTATTATGTCACACTTATGCCACAGTAGACTACTGCTTTACCAATTGGAAAAGGGGTGTGAGGCCGGGGGCGTGGCACTGTTTATGTAGAAGCCATGTGAGAGACTTCTCTAGGCTGCTGAATGGAAAGACTGTGCTCTGTGGCACAGCAGAGAGTGACAGAGCCAGCTCAGTCCATACTGGCCTCTTGGCTCTCTTACATGCTGCAATCACACAACTCAAACAAGTGCTTGGGTCATTTCGTCATCTACATTTATACGCTCCCACAGACTCACATTGTTCTGGGACATGACTTGGCAGGTAGATGAAACTCTTCACGGTAGAGCGAATTTCGTCATATCATAAATCTCAGTCACAATAAAGTGATGACTAGCACACTTAATTCGTTTGTGATCTGTGAGAAATGTTGCAGTCCATTATTACTTACCTGTTAATTCTTTGGTAATCCTTGCAGTGACAGAGCCACACTGTTCACCTGTCAACCAAAAGGATACAGTTGAACACAACCATTGTGCTCTTGGGCAAAACACTTCACTCACATTGGCTAGTAGCCACAGTATATATCAGGTTGTATGAAGGGCCAGGAAAAGCACCGGATCTTTCCTAATCATCATGTGACAGGACAGATTCTCTATGGTAACACAAAAAAGGAAGAAGTAAAACAGTGGTTCTAACCTCCATGAATGTTTCTTTAGCAAACCAGGCTTTCGTGACATTGGCTACCAATGACAGTTATGCCCGGGGAGCTATGGTATTGGGCAAGTCCCTGCGAAACCACAACACCACCAAGAAGCTGGTTGCCCTCATTGGCCCCCAAGTTTCAGAGCCATGCAGGTAAGCAACCTTCAACTGTAAAACACATCAGTGCACATCAGTGGTGTAACACTGTGCCCTGCTTAGGGGGGTGCTGCGGAGGATCTTTGATGAGGTGCGGGTGGTGGATGTGCTGGACAGTGGAGACACGGCACACCTGGCCATGATGAAGAGACCAGACCTGGGTGTGACCTTCACCAAACTCCATTGTTGGACCCTCACACACTACTCCAAATGTGTGTTTATGGATGCTGACACTCTGGTAATACACAACACATAAAGAGATAAAGAGAAGATAACAACTGTTCTGGTCCTTCAGTTTGACTGTAATTGTGGCTGCAGGTGCTGTCCAACATTGATGAGCTGTTTGACAGAAAGGAGTTATCTGCTGCCCCTGACCCTGGCTGGCCTGACTGCTTTAACTCTGGTGTGTTTGTGTTTTGTCCTTCAATGGAAACATATGGCAAACTGCTGCAGTACTCCACTGAACATGGCAGCTTCGATGGTAAGCCAAAGCCCATCTATTACTATGTAATAACGCATGGTGCACTGTGCATGGGTTATGTAAATTTATGTATGCAGTCATTTGAGATATAGTTCACACAGCTATACAAGTTAGCTATACAAGTTTTCTAATCACCCATGGACTTTCAAATCCAAAATGCATGGCCTACAATTTTGTGAGGCAAAGCAAACACCATATAAAAATATGTGTAAACAATATCATTTATTGTATAATATTTTTGTAAGTAGAGTTTTCAGAGCATGTTGCGCAGGCACAGGGTCCTGCTGAGTTATTCTGAGTTGGAGCACATATGGGAGGCCTTGTGCACATAGCTTTTGACATTCAACCACTCTTCAGCCTGTGGCGTAATGTTACTGTGGTGGGCAACATTTTGGTTTCATTTGTGTTTACTGAAGTTTTAGTTTTGTAGCAGTTACTCAACAATGACTCTAGAGTCATTTAGAGTTTTTTAGAGTCAGGTTTTGATGTAAAATGTTAATTTGGGGGCAACAGTGTATTTGTTGAATGTTCTCTGAACACAACTGGAGGTTTAGTTGATAAACTCCCAGATTCTAAGCTTTATCTTTGGTAACTATATTTCTCACGAAAAAGATTTCCCTTTGGGGATAAATAAAAGTAATTCTGATTCTGATCTGCCCAGTGAAATGATTCTGACAGGATTTCACTGTCTCCAGGCTCAGTGGCATGCTAATACTAATGGGGAGACAGACTTATTTATAGACATATCTTTTCATGTGCATTGAAGCAAGAGTGGATGTAATGACCTTTAGCATTTCTAATGAATACATGATGTGCACATGCACACTGCTGTCTGTTTCTATCATGGGAATACACTCTGAAAGATGGGCTGAGCAGTTTGTGCTTATGAATGCAGAAAAGTGGTCCAGGGCCAAGTCAAACTGGCACACTAACACACACATTCTTACTGCTCATCCCCTCAAAATGAAGACACCCGGTCTGTATTAGAGTCTGTGCAAAAAAAAAAAAGCTTTACTAAAGGAAGGGACATAGGCACAACCACACCCTATAGAAAGGGTGGGGTTTATTAGCTTCAGTAGTAAATGTACTCCTTGTGAGCAGCATACAATAGGTAATCTAGATAAAAGAGGTAACCTAATCTAATTCAAAGAAACTGAAAGAAACTGCCATTATCCAGTACTGTACCCCAATGCTCTTTATCTTGGTAAATGCTAAATGTTCACATTTTTATATACTAGTAGCACTTTTCCAACTTCAAGGCACTCAATGTGCTTTACATCAAGGAAGCACTCATCCATTCACACACGCATTCATACACCAGCATAGGCAGACACTGGGAGCAAGGTCAGTTAAGCAATGCCCAAGAACACAACGGCAGCATTCATCTGTGGTAGCTGGAATTGCACCTCCAACCTGTGGTTCAGAGAGATACTTGTCGACCTTTGCCAACCTATGTATCAGTGGACAAACACTTTGCCAACTAAGTTACTGTTGAGTTTCTGAGACTTAGAACAAACAGATAGCATTTTGGGCTTCCCTTGCACTGGAGTTGGCCCCCAGCAGTTTTGTGTCTGTTTGAAGCTGAGGAGTTATGAATGGGGTTAATAGAACTATCTCTTGAATTTGTTCATTCAGGACCCATGCTTGTGTACTGATAATGTTTTGTAGACACAAATCCCACCAGCAATTAGTCTGTTTTAAATAGCCCACTGAAAGGCAGGATTTGTGGATGGATTCGCAGCGGCTTGGTTCTGGGTTCTTTAAGTACCCAGCCACTGACAGTCTACACTAAACTTTGGACAACACCTCAAGCATCAGACCTGCTGTCATTACATCTAATATTAGCAAGTCCACATCAGACTCTTCACTGTTCACTTTCAGTCAAGAACATGCACTCTGAATCTGTTGACAACCTACATTTACAAGACTTGTGATGGGTTATGCCAGTTTTAAATTAAACTAGAGGATAATTCTTCATCAGATTTTAAGTAAGTAATTCCCCACCATTGTGCTGAATGTGATGTAAGCACCTCTATATATCACAGACTACAGCCACATACTGATCTCCTGATGTCAAGTGTGCCTAATGTGCCTGTGACAGAGTACACAGTGTCTTTCCAGTTTTCACTCGCATATGGTGGATGTAACATAGGCTCTATGTACTTTCTTTGTCTTACCATATTCAGAACGCCCAATCTTCACAGGGTGGTGCCCGGTTAGTGCCTGGATGGGGGAACACTGGGAATACCAGGTGTCATAGAGAGTGTCCATGTACTGGACAACGTGACGACAACTTTCTGGCATAATTACAACTGTATTACAGTCATGCTAATGTGCTCAATGTTCAAGGTCATGGCCAAGACATGTCCTTAGGTCTCCATGTCCAAGTCAAGTCTGGTTTACAGAAAATATATAATGCTTATTATGCCCAACCGAATAAACAAATACAAAAAATAATGTTGTAGGTTTTATTTTGTACAACTATCATTTCCTTTTTAGTTTTCCCCTTCCATTACACAATGGGGCATGTTATGTTTGCATTGAACACTATCTGTGTGTGACGTACTGAACTCAAAAATAGGACTGAGTTCCAGAGGTCATCTTGTGAATTACTTTCCACATCATGTGCTTGTGTTTTTCCTCATTTTCAGGAGGCGACCAAGGAATCTTAAACGGTTTCTTTGGTGACTGGGCAACAGCTGACATCTCCAAGCATCTTCCATTTATCTATAACCTCAGCAGCATAGCCATCTACACATATCTCCCTGCATTTAAACAGTAAGTCGTGAGTATTTTAATGTTTGTTTTGTTTTTTTCCATTTACTTTTAATAAGGATTTTGTTTATGCTTAGTAGTCATTAGCCTGTCAGTATGACTGGATTCCTGTTGCATAAGATGGGCAATTTAAAACTGTAAGAGGCAAATGTAACTTGAGCCACAATCACATGAGCATGTGCTTACACTGAAGTAACATCAGGTTACCGGAGTGATGAACAGTTAGAATCCAACTGTAGCACTGGTAAGCCCCCCCTGGGCCCGCCTCAGACGCCCACTGGCAAATCCAGCCTAAACCACCCAACAGCTGATACCCATCTGAAAATAGACTGTCTATTCTTTTATGTCAGTCTGTGGTCTCCTTTGTATTGTAAACCCATAATTGGCAAGTTGGTTTAGTCTACTATTGTCTGCTATTTAAAAGCAATTTGTCAAATTTGAGACAAAAGGTATAGTGCTAGTGCAAGTTCCCACTTCATATCCCCATTGCAGGTATGGCGGCAATGCCAAGGTCGTTCATTTTCTTGGTAAGACCAAGCCGTGGAATTACACCTTTGACCCCAAAGCCAAGCGCATTTCTGGCAGCGTGCAGGAGGCCACATCACACCCCACCTTCCTCATGGACTGGTGGATGCTGTATTCCAGTGCAGTGGTGCCTCTGATGTATGAGCAGTATGGAGACCAGCCTTTTCACTCTGGATGTGTAGAGGTATTCTTTGACTCCTCTTAGCTGTTTGGTGGCTAATATCTGAATGTCAACGCATATACTTTATGTTTTGTTTTGTAGGGGGAGAGCCCATTGCAAGTGCAGGCTCTGCAGCCTCTCATATCATCAGGAGCGGAAGGAGAGATGGGAGCAGGGTCAGGCTGACTACCTAGGAATGGACTCGTTTGATAATATCCAGCGAAAGCTCGATAGCTTCCTCAAATGAAGCAGTGATGGAAGTCTAATGTGAGAAGAGCACTTACAGTTCAACAAATGTCACCCAGGCCTCAGCTTAAAGTGTGGTTGAGAAGTTGAGCCACTCCCTGGGCCCCTGTGGGTAAATGCCCAGAAAAAGTGAATGTCAGAACTACCAGGAGAAACTTTGATCTAAAATGACACATAAAGCCCACAATCAATGTACACAAATATGTTTTGTCACTGTGTAACTTTTTTTTTTTTTTTCCAAAATGTTATAGACCACACCATTGGGAAGTGGGCAACAGGAGTTGAACTGGTTTTGCCTGAGTCATTTACTCTGTATCATTCTTTTTTCTTTCTTCTTTTTTTGTACATTTGTGTCTGTTCTTCATTCAAATGTCTTTCCTTCTACTTCAGATATACTTAAAACATGTTTACATTTCCTCTGAAAGTCATGCGCTCTACGGGATATCATATCTGTGCCTTAGCGTTTCTTGATATCTACTGTTCTGTACCAGGCTAGCTTTACTGTGCAAACTCTCCAATTCTCTCATCTGAGAATAGCATACTTTTGCATTTTGCGGTTTTCCCATACTAAATATTAAACATTTAGTTTTAACTCATTGAGTTTGTTGAAATAATTATTTATCATTAGTCAAGTGGCCATGTCGGAAAATATAGGTTATATTCTCTGCTGTCTTTCCTTTGCTTGGCTACTATTAGGTATGATATATTATATACATAAAATATATATACAAAAGTAGATTCACATCATGTAGGTCAATCCAAAGGGACATGCAATTTTATGACTGGACTAAGCTTTAGCTTAGACTTACCTCAAACTAATAGTAATGTCATGAAAACTACATCTTTACCCTGGAGGCTCGAGCTCTTAAATTTCTGCAAAAATTGACAACAAGCGCAGCCAGGCTATGTAGAAGTCTATGTAACAAACGTGTCTTTGTAGTAAGGAGGATGGCTGTCTAGAGTAGTAAGATAACTGATACCCTACACTTCCGGGTTTGTACAAATTTATTCCATCTACTTTTCCATAGACTTTAACTACTGCACAAAACAACACAAACACATTACAACAGATACATTAAAAATAGCTGCTAAATTAACCTGGCATATGTTACAAAATTAAATTAGATTAAATAAAAAATAATAATAACATGCGGTATTGACAGGCCTGGCTCTATGAAGTTTATGGCAAAGAGCCTTTCTGCGCATATGGATGATTTCTCTGTCTTGTCAGTGACTAGAGTCTCTACTGTGCTTTAACTGTTTTCTGTTGTTTCTACTGTCGCCTGCTGTCATAGTCTATGCTGCTGTCATAGTGTACGCTGCTGTAGACATACGGTCTGTGGCTGTAGGCTCAGTCTATGCTCACAGGCTTTGGGATAGAACAGAAATCGCGCATAGTGAATAATTAAAGTCGGGGGCGTGTCGAGAGGGTGGTCCACAGTTGTTAATATAAAATTCTTGCTAGGAAACTAAACACACACAACAATCAAAATGGCTTCGATCCCTGGGCTGCGAGTGTTTCTTCTCGTTTTATTTTCTGTATTCCTCACCGTGGTTTTAGGTTTTGGGCTGCCTGCTTCGCTTAACGCGGTCATGTGGCTGCTCGGATTACCACAGACCAGTGTAACGGAATGCATCGTTGGACTTTATTTAATTTTTGTTGCATTTGTTGCAATGCCCAGACTTCCCAGGGGATGGGTAAAGGTAGGCTATAGAGATTTAATAAGCATGGCGTTAGCAACAATCTTGAACTTGTGGAATAGGCCTTTCTCGCACCTTGTCTAGTTAAGCTACACATTGTATGAAAAATATACATTTTCATCTAATGCAGTAATGTGTGGGTCTAACCATTCCAGTGATCTAATCTATGGATGAAACTTGCTTTTTCAGGTGGATGGCAAAGCTGTATTGGTCACAGGTTGCGACAGTGGGTTTGGACTGGCACTTGCCAAACATTTACACAAGCTTGGCTTCACAGTGTTCGCTGGCTGCCTCCTGAAGGTGAGTGTTTCCATTGTACTTTCCCCTGTTACATAGATGCCAGGGTGCTATTAATGGTTTACTCTGAAGGACAAAGGAGGAGAGGGTGCCAAGGAGCTGGAGGAGATGCACTCAGACAGAATGAGAGTGCTGCAGCTGGATGTGTGCAGTGATGAGCAGACAAACCAGGCTGTGGAACACATCAAACACTGTTTGGGGGACCCAGAGAAAGGTTAACCTTGCCATGCCGATCAGACCAGATCAAGCAATGGTTACTGCATGTGTGGATGTACTGAACAACATGTACTTTTATGTTTATGCTAGGGCTGTGGGCAGTGGTCAACAATGCTGGTGTGTCCACGTTTGGAGAGGTGGAGTTTACCTCCATTGACACCTACAGACAGGTGTATGAGGTGAACCTGATAGGCACCATCAGAATCACTAAAGCTGTGCTGCCTTTGATCCGCAGAGCAAAAGGTTAGATACTTACAACATTATGAAAATGATCCAAAGGAGCATTCACTGAACATAATTCCTGCCATAAAAGTTTAAGGGTTTAAAACTACAACTGACTTGTAATTCTTGTAAGGAATGACAATAATGCAGGCTTAAAGACTTTTACCTTACAAAGCTTTGTCCAGCAATTTACAACAGTTTACATGCTGAAAAAACAAGCTTAATTTGTAACACTGTAACAATTTAAAGGATTTAAAAATTTAAGTTCAAACTTCAAGGTTGTATGCATTGTACTGTTTATATTGTTTACTACACAAGTTCATTATTGTCTGTCCTTGTTTCCAGGCCGAGTGGTGAATATAGCCAGCATGTATGGGAGGATGGGAAACATCATGCGTTCACAGTACTGTATGTCCAAATATGGTGTGGAAGCCTTCTCCGATTGTCTTCGATACGAGATGAAAACCTGGGGCGTTAAAGTGTCAGTTATTGAACCAGGCAACTTCATCGTTGCCACAGGAATCCTAACTCGGGACATTGTGGGAAACACATCCAACAAACTGTGGACTGAGGCCCCTCCCATTGTGAAAGAGGACTATGGTAAAGCTCACTTTGAGCATCAGATGGCTCTCATGCGCTCCTATTGTAATAGCGGACAGAAGGACATGGCCTCTGTTTTAGATGACATCATTGACGCCATAACATCTAAGCGCCCGTACACGCGCTATCTGCCCATGGAGCCACACTTGTGGATCAGAGTCCAGCTCATGACTCACCTGCCTGGTGCGATATCTGACTTCTTGTATTTCTAACTCAGCTTATTCTGAAATAAGTAACATAGAAGGCTGCTGGATAATATTGCACACTGAAGATGATTTGATTGTATTGATGATTTATTTTATATTTTCAGATAATTGTGTTTATATTGACAGTGAACTGGTAATCTGAACTGATAAGGAAAAACATATGCATGTGTTGTGCATTTTGTATCATTACAGTGATTGGTGAGGATGGGTTTTTCTCTGCCCTGGTGAGAACTGGCACTGTCTGATGTGATTATGTAACAGCACAACCGTCACCCCACTGTTTCTGTCTACTTCTGCTGTGATTATCTAGAGTGAATTTATGGTTTTGTGAGTGCCTTTTTCTATGAATGAAAGTTTATATAAAATTAATGCTTCTTGGCTGAATATAAACAAGCGTTTAAAACAAACTATAATGTATCTGGTCGACGTAGATATGTCTGAGACGTGCAATTACAAGAAGTCACCACAAGATGGCAGACAAACATAACACATCAGACCGTCGTCCGGTGCTTTAAGAAGTGTTTACTCAGCTTCATCAGGAGTATGTACTGTTGTACTGTACATATAAATATTTATCAAATATTAGCACTGGATATAAGCTTGAAATTACTAAACATAGACATAAAGGACATAAAGCACAATTTCAAAGATAGATAGAATTATGACACATTAATTAGGCTATAGTATTTGACCGTCAAATTCAAAACTGTTTAGACTTGAGGACACCCTCTAAAAACAATGACAGAATTGAAGAAACCAGACAGAATTTCCCATAGTTTATTATGACATCTTTGAACACTCTAATAATAGACTCTTCTAATTCTTACACCTGAAGACGTCCTCTCCTCCATAGAAACAGTATTAAGAGTATGAACATTACATTTCACAGCACTGCCTCCACTACCCCACAGCATCAATGTGTTTGTTCCACTCTGGCGTACAGTGAGACAAAGAACACCATACAATGTAAGCAGCACAAAAGCACCAACGTCAACATGGGCCACTTGAATTTTATCTAGAAATTAATCTGTGTAAAGACTTTTCTCAGGGTTGCATTTGCAGACAAGAATTCACTTAAGCTGCATTTGGAGTTCTGTACAAGTGGATAATAAAATAATCTCTAGATACATTTTGCAACTGCTGCCCAAATGTTATAAGCAGATTTGAACATTTCTGTAGCGCAGCGAGGCTCTGCTCATGCGGCTGGCTTATGATGGAAAATAATATCTATGCAGAGGTACTTTCAGCCTCTCTTATACATCAGGCTCGTAGGAACATTTTTACATTTAAAGTGGCTAAACTGGTAGCATGATGACAGAAATGTTGCATAATTAACACAATATATCATTTGGCATCATTGCAATATTGGCAATTTCATAAGATATGCAGTAGTATGATCCAAAGCCTTGTATTTTTTGAGTAAAACCGGACCATCTATATCATAATACTTAAGATAACTGACATTTTTGCTACTAATGTGCAGCCCTAGCCTAGGTCACACTAAATGAAAGTTATACTGACATTAAATGAATTTTCTTGGTTCCCTTGACAGTTTCCTTACAACCAAATAAGTCAGGATACCGTTACTTGGCGTTGTTACATTAGATTGAGGTCAAGATTACATTACACCTGCTACTGTATGTTTTTCAATGAGAAATCGGCACATACTGTACATGTAGGCATTCATGAATTACTCAGGAAGTTACAATGATCAGGCATAACAAAATAGCCACCTGTCTAAAATACAACAGGGAAAAAACATTCAAAACAGCCTATAGTTTAAAACTGAACTGAGAATTGGGCAAACTTCTAAGTAAGAATTTGCTTTTTAGCTGTCAGTTTGCAGATGCCGGTGAGATAATTAAAAAATATGGCTAATTTGTAGATCCAATTCCTTCAAAAATGCAAAAAAATTCCTTCCAAAATTGAAAATGCAGCCTTTGAAATGTTCACCCAATCAGTAACTAATTCATATTTAAGATTCATTATTTGTTGAAGCCACAATGTTAAAGCCTGATCAGTATATTCTCAGCAATGATAAGGTCACTTGATACAACAAACAATGCATGACCAAAAAATAATTGGGGAGTACACAAGGAAATAGCCAATGAAGATGTTTTGCGAACTCAATCCATTTTACTGACACACACATGCAAAGCGTCAACCTGATGGCATAGCACGCAGCAGTGACAAGAGGAGTGATAAGGGACATTGAACCTTTGGTAAATCAGAAGCAGTGAAGGCACGAAAAAGCTCCTAAATCCTTCTAAATAGGGCACAGCGAGTAGGCGGTACCCACGTTAATTCTGTCATATTGCGGATTTAAAACAGGAGATAGCATATTGTGAAGTGTGCGGAAAATGGCACCAAAGCAAAGCCAATTAGCAGAATTTGTAACTATGTTAAAGGCCAAATCATAGAGAATATACAGGCACATAAGAAAAAAATATATTGAGAAATTTTGCTTTCATTTTAATTTAAAAAAAAAAAAAAAAAAAAAAAAAAAAAAGATTCCATTCATAGTAAAAAGTGAACTATGTAAAATTTCTAGTGGATGCTTGTTTGATGCTGGATTTAACGTTTCTATCTCCATGGAGACAAGATAAATTAATGTTATACTGTGTAAAATTCCAGGCATCATAATAACCTATCCATGGTGACCAGCAACTGACAAACGACCCAGCAGAAAAGTGGCATAGTGTACCTTTACGATAATGATTCGAGACATTAAAGGCTCTTGTTAAGAGTAAGGCAGAATAAAAAACAGGCTTGGACAATATAACTTGGGTTGACTATACAGTTTGACTTTCCCATAAACTTCTAATTTACTGATATGTGCCTGGTACGTCCATTGCTGCCATTGTTGGACCATAAATTTCTACTTCCGTTGTAAAAAAAATAACTTTCTCACCATCATAAATCCTTACCACACAGTTTACATTAATCAGCTGAAGTGAATGGCCAGAACATACACATATACAAATGTCACATCACAAAAAGAACAGGATACACGCCTCACATCTACTCTATTGTGCCGCAAACGTTCTTTCATTTATACATCACCAATGGCCTCTGCACTCCCCACCCCGACAACTGGGAGCGGTATTCCAGATACTGTATTCAGCGAGTTAAACTTTATCCAAGACTCCTCCCAAGATCCTAAGTCACCACTTGAGTTTCAGAGGGTCAGTTTCCATTCCTCCCATGAAATCCCCCTACTTTTCGATAGCTCCGAACTTCCAGCTGGAGAACTCATCACTATCCTGGTCATCATCATCTGTCCTTAAACTCCAATGCTGCTTTAGTAAGAGGTTTTGAGTACTTCTTTGTCCTCTTTGCCTCAATAACATCCCAAAAATGTCACCTTATTTTCTGTGCATTCAAAACAAAACGCCTGTTCTACCTTCAGCAACTATTCAGAAAGTGAATCATACGTTCTAACCACAAGTGTATATCTAGCATGTGCATTTTAACCTACATAACCACACGAATATAACCTTTAAGCAACCTTTTTCTCCAGTAACTCACGATTTCCAGATGACATCATGCTCTTGACTGGACAACCATTTCCCCTCGGCACAACTAGCATGTGTTTGGACGCAGGCTGAACCTCTCTTATCTCCGGAGAAACGTCCCCCTTGGCAACACACAGGGCGCTCCTCAGCTGTCAGAGTGATGGGTGGGGGAGGGGCTACCACATAGTCACAGTGAAAACACAATTGCATGCAGACGCAACATGGTGGGTTTGTTTCGCTATGAGAGCAACAGGCTACATCTGTGGTGGCCACAGCTATGCAACAATCAGCGTGGCCGAGTGGGCACGTTTTACAAAATGAGAATCCTTCATATGCAAAGCGTGACAGATCTAAGCCTAACAGAATAGTGTCAATAAATATATTTTGGTCACATGAGTTTTATTCAGCATAAGCAGTTAGCAGAGAGTGTTGATTAGCGTGTCAACAGCCAATTAAGACAGACACAAAGAGCTTCAATCATGTCTGAAAGATGGTGTAAAGACAGTTAAAATCATCACATTTAAAAAAGAAAATGTTAAAAAGATTATATATTATTAACAAAAGAGAAAACTAAATGTAAGTCTAATAGATACAGAGGAGGAAATACATGGCATTGCCGATGGGCTACACATCTGGATCATTTTAAATAGGCGACCAAGAGGTCTGTAGTCATCTATCAGGAGTCCATAGTCTTTGTCTCCTCCTCTGTGTGTCCGTCTCTCCCATGCTTTTTCCATTCCTCCTCTTGGAATGCTCTCAAATGGGTTTAAGTCCTGATGATGTGCTAAGTCCTCAGGGTACAGTTCATATGTTAGTGTGTGTTTCACTATGACTCCACATGTTCTGTGTGTATCTGTAGGTTCCAAGTGTCTGTGACAGAGGGATCAGGAGGCAGCCAGGGCCTTGATCAGGTACAGTTTGTCTCCCTGCTCGCTGGTGAAAATAGGGGCCTTTTTGTAGTGTTCAACAAGCTCTTCCATAGAGTTGAACTTCCTCTGTCCAATGCAGTAAAGATTTTCTTTAAGCTGCACTTTGAAATGCTTGTTCTTGCTTTGGGCCTTCAGGGAGATGGAGAAGTCATTGGGCTGTAAAAGACAATGAAAAAAAAATATTAACAAACATGCAGTTCATGGGAACAATCTATTACCTGATACATTTTTATGTATATAAAATAGTGTGAAGAACACACAAAGATTTTAATGCAAAATTGAAACAAGTGTTATAATGAGGAGTATAAATGCTATTAAAATGTTTTTGTTATAAAATGGTTAGCAAGTAAACTTGAGTTCTTTTGCACCTCTAATCATTACTAAAAACACAGCGGACACATTGTGAATGTTAATAATAAGAGTGAGTGTTGGAGGACGTACCGATGACTCGCTGTCTCGGATGAGGAAGTCTCCCTCTGTGCCCCGGTGGTTGAGCGCCACCTCAGCCTGGTGGCGGGTCACTTTGCCATAGTACCACTCCTTCCCGGCGAAGCGGCCGGTCCCTGAGGGGGAGATGTAGTCACAGTCGGGGGTGGGGGGTCCGGCTGGGCCTGCTAGGGGTTTATGGGAGCTGGAGTCCAGCACTGTTACATAATTTTTAGGTACTAATCCCAACTGTCCATCGGCTTTGCGACACTTCCACCACTCTGGGTCGTTTTCAGGTTTCTCTATGACCTCCATCACCTCTCCCTTTTCAAAGTTCAGCTCTTCATCATTGCCCGAGCTGAACGGGTACAAGGCCTGGACCGTGTGCAGCACTCTGTTCCCATTGGCCGTGCTGTTGACCACAGCTGCCAGCTTCTCTGTCAGGGATACCGTGGGGTCACCCAGCCCTCCTGGTCCTGCTGTCCGCTCCACATCCTCTGTCACATAGTTAGAGGGGAACCAGCCCGAGCGGCCGCTGTAGCTGCCACGCCACCAGCCGTCGCTGCACTTCTCCATGACGATGACCCGTGTTCCTTTGACCAGAGACAGCTCATCCTCACGCTCCGCCGTGTAGCTGAACTTAACCAACGCAGGCACGTTCAGGTCATACAAACGCTCGCCGTTATCGTACATGTCTGAGTCCACATTAGAGGCTGTGTCTCTCATGCCCCTCTTCCCGCCCTTCACCTTCCCAATCCCTGCAAGGAGGAGGAAAGACAGAATCAGTCAAACTGTTTTGTTTGTGTAAAAGAAAATGTTTTACACAAATAACCAATGCTAATATATTTACAACAATGTCCAACTTTTAACATAGCCTCAAAAACAACTTGTATTTTACCAGCCAGCCTAGAACGTGACATGAAAGTAAACAAACAGCAAAGATATTTTTAGTCTGTAAATGTTTCCAATTAAAGTACTAGTCGAACTGTTACAGCCCTAGGCCTAATGCTGCTCAGAGGAAAGCCAATGTGGTGTAGAGACTTGGTTAATTCTAAGTTTGGCCTGAAATGGATACAGTTCAGAATGACAGACCATCTCACAAAGTGGCTCGCCAACAAAAAGCCCTTGAGCAACGTTAAATGTGCCTGATGACATCCAAATGACCAGGCCTTCAGGTCTGTTGTAAAAGGCAACCCAAAATGCAACCAAACATCAACTCAAAACCATACCTGCTAATTATTAATGTCCTGAAATGTTTATGAAAAAGACAAAAACAACATATTCACTTAGGGTTAAATAATTGGAGTGGGCACAACTCAGAGCCACTACAGCTATCCGACCACACTACAAGCCAAAATACATTCTTTGGGATTAAGTGGTGGTGCTAAGGAAACAAAAACCAAAGCTTGTGTGGTTGGTAGAGAAACTAAGTGTGATGAAAACTTGTTTACCACAAACTTATACATCAGACAGTCTCCAGTGCATCAGAGTGATTCAGCTCAGGATCTTACAGCTCACCGTAAGCCGTCTCTGCGGTGAGTGCACATTTCTGACTGGGCTTAAGGTGCGTTTCAGTGTTGTGGATATCACTGCACCAGTTACCTGAGTTGCCCTTCTACCTGTAACCTGATGTGCCCCACAGCTGGATCCCAAACCACTCACTTCTGACACTCATTTTTATGGACTGTAAAAACAAACAACATTAAGCGCACTCTGACTGCTAGTATAACTTTGGCATCGCTGTACTATCAAGTGTACGTAAACAAAAATGTGTGGGGAACAGGTCTGTCACCATAATTACTACCATATACTGTATTGTCATTGAAGATGTATGTATTTTGGAGCTCAATATTTGTGTGTACATTTTCTTTACATTAGCAATCCTTTTTTGTATTATGGCAAGATTTGTAGAGGGTTTAATGAGTAACTTCTATAGCTTACTATAGCTTATTTGTTGCTGCTCATGCGTTTCAACAATACTGTACATTTAAAATATGTATTATAGAGCGAATTTGCCTGTGATATTTTGTGTAGCAGTATGTTGTGTTTCTAAATGTGCCATTGTGACAGGCCTAGTGGGGATCATGAGTGTGAATGGAAAAATAACTGTGAATCATGCACAAAGTACAAAAAAGAGACTTCCTAAGTACATGGTTTTATAGGGCAGAGATGCGTTTTAGTTTTTCCTCCAGTGATGGGGAAAAAAGAGAGAGCAACTGTATGTGATCATGTATGTTAGCTTTTGTCAAAAGTAATGAAAATCAGCTATTAATTGATACCAAAACTAGTACTGAAACTAGATTTGAACAAGTACAGATATTAAAAATATTACTTTTTTAAATTCTTTTTTTATTAATCAATTCTAGTTTTATACACATACATATGTATTGACGTATATATACATACATACACACATACATACATACATACATACATTTTCCTCCTGTTTATGGTCGTACAAACTAACAGTAGTGTTAACAAAGGGACGAAATTTTATCGTTTATAATCATGCAAAACAAACAACAATGTAAATGAAAAGATAATAATAAAAAAAAATATATATATATATATATATATATACATACATGCATATACACATATACATATACATATATATACATACATACATACATATAAAGTTTATTTGTTTTTCGTTTATGGTCTTACAAACTAATAATAATGTTAATGAAGGTATAAAAGTTTATCGTTTATAATCGTGCGAAAAAACTACAATGAGAAATAAAAAATAAATAAATAAATATATATATAACACACACACACATATATATATGTGTATATATATATATATATATATATATATATTATGCATGTATGCATGCATGTATGCATGCATGCATGCATACATATTTTATATATATATATATACACACATACACATATATACACATACACACATACATATACACACATACACATAAAATAAAAAGTATAAGGATTATTTGTTTTTCGTTTATGGCCTTGCAAACTAATAATAATGTTAACGAAGGCGTAAAAGTTTATCATTTATGATCGTGCGAAATAAACTAATCTTTCGTTTATAGTCGTACAAACTAATAATAACGTTAATGAAGGCGACAAAGATTATCGTTTATGATCGTGTGAAACAAGCAACGATGAGCGTGAAAGAATGTAAGGATTATGATCATGTATTTATTTTTTTTTTATACAAATATTACTCAAACTGAACAACCAGTCTTAGTCTTATAATAGTTTTGATAAAGCTGGGCTTACACCACATGGCAATTCTTATGTTGTGTTGAAAATTCTATTGTCTAAAAGTATTTTTATTATCATTGTGGTATTGAAACTGGTATTGAGAATCAAGCAAATTCCTCAGTATCAGAATATAGTCCAAAATGTTAGTATTGTAACAACACTATGACCTTTTATACATTAATAAGTATAGTGCCTTGCTAGTAAAGAATTCCAAATCTTAAGTGTTTGCCCTAAGCAGCTTTCAATTAACATAAGTGAAAAAAATTATAGAAGCAATTCTGAATTTACATTTAAGTCTATTCAGTATTCAGTAATGACACAATTTATACAGCGCTATTGTATGCTTTTCGTAATACAAGTCTTAACAATCCTATAAACTTATTTGGCTGAACTCCACTCCAGTAAACAAAACTATTCTAGAACATATCTACTTCAGAGTAATCAGAGCAAGGCTGTAATTTCTTGAGTACCTTAATTCTGGTCACAGCCCAGCGCTCGCTCGACCCATCACTTAACAGGTCTGAGTAAGAGCAGGGGAATACCAGGCTTCGGTCTGCCAGGCCTGTGTGGTCATCATTTTATTGGTCAAGAATTTCCACTTGGCAGGGCACTTCTGAACAGACACAGCGGTGAAATCATGCCGCCTAGCTAGCCCAAAGGAAGTCTGCATGGTCTATCTACATGTCGGACATGTCCAAAGTATAGCCCAGGTTTACACAAAACAAGTAAAGTGTGATTTTACAGATGTAACGTAGTGAACAAATTAAAAAAAAAAAAACCTGTCAGATTTTGCCTTCCTATTTAAGTCTGTGAAGTTAACCTGTAAAACAGATGAAAAGTCATATAGCTTGATTTCAACACTAAAAAAACTCAATTCTGACAACACAATTTCTGTAAAATGAAATTGCACAACAAGTCTTATGATGTAGTGTCATTTTAGCAGGAACTAATGTGTCATCTTACAGAATGTATGTTAGGAGATGAACAGTTACTGAGGGGTGTCTGCTGTGACTCCGGCAGAAGAGGACAAATTTCATGGTAGCACCAATAGCCTCCGGTCAGAGTGCTTCACTGTGGAGTCTGTTATTAGTGCCACCACTGTTCATAACTACAGACTGTGCAGGGTGTTAAGAGCTGATCTGAGCACAGAGGTTAGGCCTAGTCATGCCCTGGGATCTCACACTAAAGTAAAGTATATCAGCTTATACATTTATTTTATTTATCAAAAAACGTTACAAATATATATTTTATCCACTTACTTATCTAGTACAAAATTCTCTAATATATCAAATCATATATATATAGACTTTATTGACTTTATCTCTGTGAACATGCATCCTGTCAGTGATGTGGTAAAAGGGTTGAAAAAAGTTTGACCCAGTCGTGTTTTATCTGTGTGACCAGACTCTTATCACAGTCCCTCTGGGAGTGTTTGTGCTGTTTCCTGCTGCTGTGACAATGATGCTTTGCACACAACCATCATAATCATGAGTTTGTCTTACCAATAATATCAATTATGCTTTCACTTTCACTTCATAAGATAATATTTGTTGTTTATAATTCCAAATTCCATACTTGGCCTAATTTAGACTGGTAATAGGTTAATAGGCAGTAATAAGCATTCTTGAGCCTAGACCCATTCAGAACATCGGCCACAATAATAAACTAAAAGCATGGGTAAAAACAATTTTCACACTAAAATTGCAACTTTATATATGTTGACAAATTAATAAGATTCATATTTAAGATTCAGAGTATGGTACTAATCTGTGAATGATAGCAACGTAATGACAAAGCAGTCTGGGGATCAGAAGGCAGACAGAAATCATGCAGCGTCTGATACACAGGGACAGAGGCACAATGCATAATTATAGGACATTTTAATGCCACCACCTCAATCTGCAAGATGAGCACAAATTCAGCACTTAACTGTTCAGTTACTCTATGATTATTTGTACAGAGCATATGGCTGGGCAGACTACAGACAGTGCTGCTTTAGGGGAGGCCGGGCTAAAAATAAACCACGTTTTGCCCCTGCCCCCACCTGCTCCCCTAACAAGCTACAAAGAGATAAATATTCCTCTTGCGTTTGAACTTGATCTATACCTGAACCTAAGGCTATCTTTAAATGCCTGGGTGCACATGTGGACATGTGGTAACTCCCCCAAAACCAGGGCACTGCTGGGATATGAAGGGAGCAGGGAAGAGAATAGCATGGACATTTTTCTGACATCACATGCTTTTTCTTGTGAGTATGAGAAGGGAGGAAGGAAATTGTGCGTCAACTGGTGGTAAATCATCACTGCACACAATGACAAATACTATCAGGTAAAATGGTGTTCTAGATAGAGAGAATCAGCAGGAGAAGAAAGTGAGCTGGTAGAAACACACAGGATGTGCTTTTGTTTTTTAGCTTAGCCCCTGTGAGCTGGCTGCCCGTCCATTGTCCGCCGGGGCCCTCTCGACCCAGCGCTTCCCTCCATTCCAGAGCTCTTCCTCTGTGGACAACAACAGCCCGCGTCAGCCTGTCTGACAGCTCCAGCCTTAAGACTGCAGCATCACTCTCGCACAAGTATTTTTAGAATGCCATTGATTCACTTAGTGGAGATGGATAAGAATAGCAGTTCCTTTGTGATAGCTGTTGTGGTTATTCTGGTCACTGACATATTGTTTGCAAGATTAGAATATAGATAGGGCATCAGAGCAAAAAACATCAAACATCATGCCAAATAATTTGTGAGGCTTTGGGCTTTATGCTCTTTACGCACCATGATCCCTCACCAAAATCTAATCTAGCCAAAAATACATCAGCCCCAACCAACAAATCAATGCTAATGAATACAAAATTGAGACGAGAAGCCTATAACTCACAATTACACCAGATTACTGCCATATTGAACACAATACGTTCCTCGGCAATCTGGATCACTGCCCTGCACTGCCTTCACCACATACAGTGGCAACTACCAGTATCAGAGTAAATGTGTAACATAAAGTATAAAGAATACCTTAATACTTTTGGGATTATCCTGATAACAGCAATCAGATTATACTTGCTGTTTATTCCAAACGTCCTGTGATGTGCCTATAATGTCTTGGTTGAGGTTCAAATACCACACAGAAGAAGCGGTATTGAAAAAGTAACCACAAACAAGCAGCAATAGGACTTTCTTTGCAGAGTTTGCACTGCGACTTTGTGGGTTTCCTCTGGGAATTCTGGATACCCCATCACTCCAAAACATGCCCAATACATTACAATCCTCAAGATATGGTAGTTCTGGCCAAGTCTAGCTCAAGATCTGGAGATTGGTCCCAGGGCGCTGCACAGTGGCAACCACTACTCCAGAAGGGTTGGCGCAGCAGCATTGAAGAATGGGTCAAATGCAAAGGATAAATTATCCTATGGGCGCAATAAAGGTAGCATATCCTTATACTCATATTGCATACATTTAAAATGTCAGTGCCACTCATAATTATAACCACAGAGTTAATTTCTGCCTCATATGCTTATTTGTTATTAAGCATTCAAAAGATGCCAACTTAGTCACCTACAGAGCTCAGTCATGGCACACAGCCGTATGTTTTAGTATGAGACATAGACATTAAACATAATGACAGATGCTCAGCACTGAGTCAAACTAAAGGGTAGGAGCAGTGCAGACTTCATATTCCTCTGAGGAAAAGGTGTTTTTGGCCTCTGCTTCAATCAAGGAGCAAACATGGCTGACTGATGGCTGCATAGGAAGCGCTGCAAGTCCTTTCAACTTGAGATGTAGAGGACTTCAAAAGCACCAGCCTGAGAGTCTGTGATGAAGCAGAGCAGAAAAACTACTCCACTGGGCTCTGCTCAGAGGACACTAGCACTAACCATTCCAGGTGTTCATCAACATTTAGTCTCATAAACTGACCATAATTTATTATTGAGGTCAGAACTCTATGCTAGAATTAGCCTATTTAATGCTTAGCCTAGAGATCTGACGAGATCAGGCACTGACAAGGACGTATGGTACTGTTAAATGTGCATAGGCCTATTAATTACAGATATTTGAGCATCTGGAAAGACTATATAAGACTAAGGTATTATTATTGTTATTATTCACACTGGCGGATCTACTGGATCCTGTATTGATAAAATGTAGAAACTAGTAAATTTTGTTCATCCAATGCCAGAAGGCAAACTGTAGTAAATATATACTTCCTCTTAAATAGAGTATGGACTCAATCATTACAACAAACCTGGTTTCCATTGCATCATGATTTTATTACTGTATAGCTCAGATGCACCAGTGACACAACATGTCAACACAAACACTCATCAGACTCTGTTGAAAAGTTATCTTTACAAGTTGTAATTCTACATAGCTACATACACAGCTGCTACAGCATCTCAGTAATATGCTTGTTGTCTGTTAACTACATTTAAGAACAAAAAATGGTTTAAACATAAAAATAAAAAGTAATTTAATTTTAATGAAGTAGAGTCTTAAGAGATGATCTAAAGAGGATGCTGCTATGCTCTCTTTCAACACAGTTCACAGCAACACCACACACTTGTCCAAACATCTTGGGCCAAATTACAGGCGAGTGTCTGGCCTTGAAGAAACAAATACAACAGTGACGGAGGCTGCCATTAGACCCAACAGACAGAGCCAGCACAATGATTCAACTTCCTCTTCACTTCTCACTTCCTCTCAGGCCTGTACTCCACTAAGGCTCACACACAAATGTGGCTCAAATTAGAGTTTCCGCTCGCTGGGGTGGCTCTGAAACAGGAAAACACAGGGAGGGAACACACTCCCTGTTCTCCCTTTACACGAGTAAAGGCCTTTATTAGCCCATCTCCACTAGTACAGGGATCTTCTAACCTCATTAAAACTACAGCTCTCACTTTAAGGCTGTTCAATGGAGACAGGGACACACAAGTGATCCCAGAGGAGCAGACAGACACAGACAGGAGATAGCACTCAACAGTTACAAGGTGAGATTACAGCGCGGCTGTGCGCCAGCCCTTTTGAAAACGTGTCAGTGTGCCTGTAAAGTGTCCACAGGCGCGGAGCTGCCGGGACATTCCTCTGATAAGAGGCTGAGGTGAAGGAGATGGGACCCGAGTCCCATCAGTCAGTACAGAGCCTTTCCTCCTCACAGCACAATGCCTACAGTGTTCTCAGGAGCCCCGCGGCCCGGCCACTGTAGCTCATGACACGGAGGGGGGCCGGCTCGCCCTCAGGGTTAGTATAAAGGAAAACAGACTTGAGCTATGTCTCTAGATATTCCCCATCAGGGTGGAGCGGGGGTCTTAAAGCATGATAATGTAATCCGCTGAGTCGCAGCCCACTTGCGAGAACAAATGCTGGAGAAATGGAGTAGGATTTGTGTATGCTGAGACTTCTCAGACTGAAGGATTGTTGAGGCAATTACAGGCTTGAGTTCAGCAGCATATCCACCCAGTCTTGCAGCCGCTCTGAAACTCCAAAAGCCAGAACAAGCCTCTGTCACTCAATGCTATTAAAAGCTGCTAGAACAAAATCAAGTTTATGTCATCTAAAAATGCCACAATCTATTGGCCCAGAAACACTGGGACTTCGTATAAACCACATTTGGAACACAGTTGGAAAGAAAATGAAAGACAAGAAAAAAAAGTGACACCCACTCCTCCATTGCAAAAGAGCCAAAATAGACTGACTCCAACTTGAGACAAAGACGCTTGAAACCCACTTGTAAAACACCAAACAGTTAGTACAACCTCACACTGAGGGGCTAGAAAGGTGTAGGAATGTGGAAAACTCACGAAAGAAGTGTTTGAATAGGTTAGCCATGTCCATTTTGGGCTCGCCGCCTCTCCCTGTGTCCCGGCCCCAGCGCTCTTCCCACTGCAGCTGTGGAGTTATTCCATGTGAACACCCAAAGAGCTGGGCGGGTAGCGGATAGCAGTGCAGCCCACTCAGCACCATGTGACAGCTGTGGACCAGTCACAGCCTGGGATAAAGAGGCCTCTAGCCCAGCTCTTGTAGGAGAGGCCTCATGGAGAAGGGAGGGAGGGGGTAAACTCAGACCGGGGCAGAGAAAGAAAGACAGATGAAAGAAAGAAGATATGGCGAAAGTGGACTAGCTCTACATTTCCAAGCAGGCCTCAGTGTGTGAAAAGAGAGCAAACAAGAGCAGAAAGATTTGAAGGATTTGTCAAGTGAGTCATTGAGTACGTAACACCATCCAACTGCAGTTGTTTGTAGAGACGAACTCATAACTTTGCAACAAGAACTGGGAAACTAGAATGCTTTAGCCACAGATAGGCCCTGGACAGGCACTAAGCAACATAAACAGAGTCCTCCCAACTGTGAACTGCAATGCATCTCCTCACCACCCACACAAGTGAAATGGACAACTGCTATTATGTATGGAATGATTTTATGACTTGTATCTGATTTGAGCTCATGTTTTACGGCATAGACACTTGAGCTTGTGAGTTTGTCGGTGCAGCTGTCCACCTGCAGTTATTTGATCAATGTGTAGTGACAGGTGCAAAGGTGTTGTAACAAACAGTATCGCCACACTGCGAGCCATACACACAACACTATGCAGATAAGACATGCAGGCAAAGCAAACACAGTGAAGTGCTTACAGCAGCATCAATACCAGAACCTTTGTCACAGAAATGATGTCATCCACTGATAGTCTGCTGCCAATTTAGCAATTTTGGTCCTTTTAGCATTGTTATGCTGCCAGACAAAATTAAGACATCAAGTAGGAACCAAACATTCTAAGCTCACAGCTAGCAGAAAGACCCATAAGAGACATGATCTGATAGTTAGAAATGATGACACTGTTATTCAGAGTTACAACAACTACAACAGCTGTAGTAGAGGATTTCAAGGAAACAGACACATTGAGGTTGTTAACTTTGTAACAAAAATGTAAAAGGTGAATTAAGTTAAAGATGAATTTAACTTTTTTTTCCCATAATATAGTGTAGTAGTGAAAGGTCTCTGAGTGCTGCACAGTAGTGCCAACTGCTCTTGACAGGTTACCCTAGCAACATTGAAAGATGGGTCAACAGTCTACAGGGAAATCAAGTTGACCCTTATCTTAACCTAGTAGTACAGCATATATTAAATAAATGGTGCGTGCTACTCCTCTAACTGCTACACACATTTTACAGTACAATACATCTTGCTATACATACGGAAAGATAAACAAAGTCAAATGCACATAATAGAATCACAGTTCATATAGTTTTGTATCCAGGTACTCGAGTAACAAAAGATCTACTTAACAGAACTGACACAAAAGAACCACAAAATCTATAATCTAAAAAAGGGAACTATTTTGGCGGAGTTGTGCGTTTCAAACAGATTTTTTTTTAACAGTGAACTCAAGCCAAATGAATGTGTGGTGGGATCCGGCCATGTTTCAGAGATGCCAGTGGTCAGAGTGTGCCTCCCGAATGATGCTGAATATCTGTCATCAGAGAGAATTAAGCAAAGACAAATGGCAACGTTGGCTTCTATACACCGAGCTGCGTTTGGCTCAGACACAGACCCCTGGCACACGGTTCAGCTTAGAAATATTACTGCTATGCCAACAAGCACAGAACATTGTATTAGAGTAGTTAACTGAAAGGTCATGGGGAAATCCTCAGCTGGACACAACGCATACCAACTGGATGAACTAAAAGCAAAGACACTTACCCTATCTCTTCTGTTTAAAGAGAAGCTGCAGGTGCTCTACAGATGAAATACTGAAAATTACTGAGCAGGTCGAGGTTTCAACTAAACTACAGTCAACCACAAAGCGTCTTCCTGTGATCGCTGTGTGAATAAGACACTACGACAATGTCACTCACACAGATATAATTTCTGCTTGCACTTCAGTTTGTGTTATCAAGAAATTGTTGAAACTCTAAATGACTAATAAAGCGAAGTCTAAGAAAGAGAAAGAAAAATTCTCAATTCAGTCAATCTGCTGCTTATTCTTACCGAGTGTATCTTTGAGATTCTTAACAATCGAGGCTTTCCTGGCACTGTTTTTCCTCTCCACATAGTTAGAAGGCACAAAGCCAGTTTTGTTGGTGGCATTTCTGACCATCCACCAAGACTTGGAGTCATCCAGGAGCCAGAGGCGCTCGTTCTTCTTGATGTCCAGCTCCTGGTCCTGCTGGGCCATGTAGTCGAACTTGGCGATCACAATCACCTCTTCACTCATCTTGGCCTGGGTGCACTGAGAGAGAGAACAGGCACAACAAACTTATTACGAGTCACAGATTGGAACAGAGATAGACTTTTCTGTAACAAAAATATGATTCTAAATTCAGCCATGATATGTTATAGGTTTGGCAAGCCCACTTTACTGAGGTTGATTGCCAAATGGTGATACAACAGTGTGGTCTAGACTTGTCAAGAGAACACATTTTGAAGTGTGATGTATTGCTGAAGTAAATATAGACAATAAACGATAATATTAAAACCAGACCATAAAGCAGAATTATAACCAAAAATGATTATAAATGTACAATATTGGTAAAAAAAAATATGAACTGCAATCAATAAATGACAGAATGCAATACTTGAGTAGTTAGGTGGTATCTATAATGGGTCATAGAAGTTCATAATTCAACCCTCTACAGGTCAAATCTCATAGAACAGAAAACTACATAACTTTTTTCCCCGCTAGTACAAATAAAAAGTACCTATGATAAATACTTACCCCCAAAAATGATTGTTCAATCTGTTATGTACTGAAGTTGATACAGTAATCTTTATAACAGGCCTGCAATGTGCATATTTTCACTCTTTGTAGCTTAAAATAAGAAGTGAAAATGAAAAACTAATAACAAAATTTACTGAATTGAATAGCTCATAGCTTTTAATGATCTTGCTTTGTGTCAGTGGCATTTCAAAGTTTCAATATTATCATTTATCACATTATATCTCTGTAGCAATACACCATGCTTCAAAGTTTGTATGTGACTGGCCTATATTTTATTAAATTTAGAAACTATGTGTGGGAAGAGAAAACTGTACCTGTTCTGCATCAAGATGAGAACTCCAGGGGCTTTTAAACTCCTCCTCTGACCTACACAGGAGAAAACGGGACATTAACACATCATTCATAGACAACCTCAGTTAAACTAAAATGCAGTTTCACTATATCATCTTATACTATACAGATTTCTGGTGTTTCATCTGACAGTTTGAATAAAAACGTCTGTCTCAACACTATAGGTTTGCCAGAGAGTCAGTATCCAGGTTTTCAGGAATCAGCAGAAGGGACATTTCCTCAGCAGCTGTCCAACTATTGTCTATTGTGTCACAGAAATAAGCTTGTCACACATCACACGTCAACAAGTCCAGACCTTGTAAACAAATCGGAAATCAGTATTTGATAGCGTTAACAGAAAAACTAAAACATGTAATACAAAGTTATGGACCAAAAAGTAAAATATTTTTTACCACATACAATATTTCTCATGAAAATGTATACGACTCATTCCAGTTTGTAACAATCAGATTACTTAGCTATAGTGCAGCACAGCAATAGTTTATAGAGTCATTTTAGAAACAGCACTATCTCAAATAAGTCCTAGAGGGTAAAAAAAAAAAAAAAACATGCTTACACAATTTTGACGCAATCTAAAAACTGGGCTATATTTTGCCTGTGGGTCAGAGGGTTTCGGTGTTCATGTAAATTTTTGTTAAATTAAATTTTGTAACTAACTTATTGTGTTGTACCAAAAAAAAACCTTATCAATCTCAATGGAGACAAGGGATTTTATAAAAGTCAATTTTGATAGTGTATCCTATTATAGACAAAATGGATCTCTATCACCGAGATTATTATTTGGAACAACAAATTTATTGTGAAGAAAAAGGACAGGACAGATTATTATTTGTGCTACAAAAAAATCGATGAGAAACAACAATCTCAGATTTGTATAATTTTGACCATACAAGACCAACGAATGAAGTATGAATCGAATGAAAGTTTGCTAATCACATGGATCACACTATTTATAAACACAAGAGCTGCTCTGAAGATTAGTCTGACAAAAAACGCATTCATATCTCTGGTCTTATGACCTGTGCAGCTGTGAGCACTGGAGGTTAGTGCAGCACAGAGAGGCTCCATCGACTGCGCTTTAGTGTCATGAGAGTGGGACACGCTGCTTCACCTTTCCCCCTCTACCCAACTTAAGGGACCAGACAGTGACCTCATTGATCGTAGGCTCCTGGGTTTTTATTGAAGTACTAGTGTAAGTTTCACCAGCAGCTGCCCCAGATAGGCCCCGAACATGATCTTAGGCAAACAGAGGGTGCGCAGGGCGTGATTAGGCGGGATGTGCTAAATAAACAAAACAATAAAGGACAGGGTGCATCCTGGTACTGACACCAGATGAGTTATGGCAGGTTTCACCAGATCTGTAAGTGCTATCAAGTATAGTGAGAAATTGAGTTATATTACAGATAACAATTAATGATACATTTCTATGGTTAGGTGGTTTAAACACATAAGACACTAAAAGAAAAACAAAAACAAAAACTGAATCCGAATCCGAATACTGAATTTGAGCAGGTATCAATACTATGAATGGAAGTATGACCACATGGTAAAATTAAAGATAAAATATTATTCTGTGTTGTTAAATTATATCAGGTATATAATGTGATTATATATAGTAAAGGAGGCAACTGTTCACTGTACTTCAAAACTTTTAAAAATGTTTTTAACTTTATTTTCCAATTAGAGTTTGAGATTTCAGTACTACGAAAATAACATTAATTTATATAGTATAATTTGTATTTTTATGTTTCAAGAAGCATAACAGCCCAGATAAAAGTTAGAAGTTACTGAATATAGTGGAAAATGATGTCAACACTTAGAGGTTGCTTCTGAACAACTGCATAGGAAGCTTGCTTTTGAGGGTGATGTGGTTTGATCTTACAGCATGCCATTACTTGATCTTTCCATCTTTCATTTAATTAATTAAAATCCAGTGGAAGCCATGTTAGGGAGGGCCTGGAATAACACAATAATTATATTCAAATGCTGGCTTTAACAGCATAACAAAAGTCAGCATCATCTCCTCTCATCTCTCCACTCCCAGGCCAGGGTGGACTTGATAATACAATCTGTCTCCACTTACAACGCTGCTCAATCACAGATCTCCTATGACACTTTCCCCCTCTTATCCTCCAGAACGTTGAGCGACAGAAGGCTTATCATCTTTCTTATCCGCCATATTTTCAGTGCGGCACCCCAATCAGAAATCTTGACCCCCCACATTTCCAGTGGCGGGGTATAGTGGCAGTGAATTACAAAGTGCAGATGTGAGGGAGGATCAAAGCCGGAGTGACAGATGCTGAAGCAGATCTGGCAGCTGCAGATTGAGCTGGGGCCACTTGCAGCACTGAGGCTCTAAACACAGGTCACAGGTCAAACTGCTCACATTGTGTCTCATTCACATTGGGGGCCGCTACATTGTTCCACTGACAATCACCATTTACAGGTAGATAAACATGAACGTAGCATCATAAACAAGTGGGATCTGTAAAACTGGGAGCATGACAGGGATAGGCAATATATCGGGTCCTATATCGGCCTCAGTGGCTGGTATGAGACTTGTTTCCAAGTTGTTCCAGTCTCTGTGTGCCCAATGTGTCCTTTTGTACCCAGTGCATAGGGCTAGACAACTTTGACTGAAAATAAAATTATTTTTTATTTTAAACTCTCTTCACAAAAAAATCTGCAAACTACTCAAATGGTCAAAAGTGAAAAGATTCTCAATCTAATTTCCAATGCAATAAAGAGTGGGAAATGTTTAAAAATGTATTTTCTTCCAAACAAACTGATTCTGCCCAGCCCTACTAGTGCATCAGATTTGTTATTGAAAAGACTAATGAGTGAATATAGAAATAGAAGGGAATTTCAGAAGAGAAAAACAGGCTAAAAATATGGCTGCCTTTACAATTTACATCTGTGAAGTAAAAACAATTCCAGGGTCAGGTGACTCATCGAGAGGAATTCAAATCTAACATAAAAAGGTTATTAGGAGTTATTTAACATTTCTATCTTTGCTATATATTTAGATTCATATGTATCTAAAATGGTAGCACACAAAAACATTGAATGAGAATGTGTCTCCAAACTGTTAGCATACACTTAGGTTGAAAATAGCCAGTGTACGAAACATACATAGTAAAAATATTTTGCACAAGCCTTGAGGTTGTCAACAAGTGGGTGGCTGTATTGTGGCATATGCATGGTTATGTGGTTGAGTGCGTGATGTGTGACTGTGACTGCGTGAGTGTGTTTGTGAGAGAGCGACTGTGTGCGAGTGCATGTGCGAGAGTGTGTGCAAGTGTTTTGTTAATGTTTAAAAATACATTTTAACAAAAAAAAACATTTATTTAAAAAAAATCTATGCGTTCTGTTCATTGTTTAATTTAATTGTTTAACAATGGAAGCATACTTTGTCTCTATCCCATAAAGATAACAAAAACATTTATTTTACAGCTGACTATTAGAGCAACACAAAAATGGACTGATGCATTGAAAATTAAATATGAAAAGCTCTATTAAATGTTACTGGACACTATCAACCATAACTCTCCACTATACATAAATATACAGTGTGAAAGCAGTGTTATCAGTTAGCACTTATGTCGTGAAAAGTGCTCACAGTGGACACAGTAGT